GCATGGATTGTGAGAGAGCACTTGTTTTATTTCAGTCCTACTGGCTCTGCCTGAAGCACCACAATTATTTGGTGCCCTTTGAGTATGCAGAGTCATTTTCCTCAAGCGCACATCCACCACATGGATGAGCAAAAGGTGGTAGGATTTATGAGGGTTCACTGCATCTCACATAAGAAATCCTCGTGGCAATGGATGAACTTGGCTTTTGCTCATTCTGTTATATCCATCAGTGAAATAATGATGATATCATTTGTCATAACTAGAACTGTAGCAAACATACTTACTTTAAATATTATTGATTCAGTTTTTTTTTAAATTTAAATTAACACCACGTGGAAAAAAACCATTAGACACACACAAGATATTAGATTAAGCCATAAATCATTCTTTAGTGCCAAATGATTGTACTAATGACTTTCAAATCATTTTCTGTTGAGGTTTACATTCTCAACTGGATTACATTAAATGGTTTTCCATGTCTGGAAAGACATATAACTGCCCATGCTCTTAAATAAATAGGGTGACAGTTGCTTACTGATCACAGAGTAAACATGAAATGGAAGTGAACAGATAAAGCAAGCATCAGGCAAATGGGCTCAGTATTGGCCGGAGAGAGTGGGCTCGGTGTTATGTGTCCTCCTCAGCTCCTTTTTCCCTGCGCTGTTGGCGACTAAACCAGAGATAGATTTTGACTCAGGTGCAAACTGAGCTGTTTTGCAGACGCCCACACAAGCCCGTTATCGTACAAATACAATACACCAGAGACAAGGCATCTGTTGTGGCTGTGTGTGCGTGCGTGCGTGCGTGTGTGTGTGTGTACGTGTGTGGGTGTTAGGATGAAAAAGTATGCATGGATGGGTTGTTTTTTTTCTGTCTGTGAGTATGTTTAAAACAATGGAACACAAACATGTGATTGATATTTTTGCACTTTCTGTTACCATATATGATGCAAACTTCTATAAATACACTGCAAGAAATATATATAAAAAGGAGGAATTGAGCCCTGTGTTGACTTCAAAAACACTGCATTGTGCTGCCTGTGTTGATGACAGTTTCATTACGCTGAAGCAGCTGTTTCTGCACTGAATTATCCAAGCTATGTGTATTTCTAGGATATGAGCTAAGGGATAAAGGGGGAAACGTGTGAATGTAGAACAAGTCATGACAGATCCTGACAGGAGACAGAAATGTCCTCTCTCCCCCTCTGGTGCTCTCTTTTACACTCTCTCAACCATTTTAATCTCCCATTTAATACCATCCCTTCCAGACTCAACTTTGATCACTGTCATTTTGCAAACTTACAGGATTGGAAGGATTGAGACAAATGCATTATTCATCCCACACACCAATTTGGGTCTCCTCTGCTGTCTGTAATGCACTTCTCTCATCTCCTTGTCACTTTTGTCTTTTGTTCTGTTTGCTCTGTCAAAGGAAGGCACTGATCTGCAATGGTCCTATAAGAATAAACCAAGGGAAATATAACTCAATTATGCTAGTTATAAGAATAGATTAAATACAATATGTAATCTTATACTGTATTAAAATGTATTGGTTTGTTGATCTTAAGGAACACAGTGGTTGCATTTTATTAGTAGGCCTAATCCTAAACAGTAGTGTTCATGCCTAGTAATTTGGCTTCAGTTTATGTTCAGTGTCAAAAGGCATGTCGGAAAACAAACAGTAATACCACCCTCATATTCGTTTCATGGTGCAGATATTGTCTAACCACCAACATGATTGCCTTGAGCTGGAGTGAGCAGAAGCTTCACGACCCAACCTGCGCCTCAGTAAATCACACCCAGAGCTTATGAGTCAGGAGCCGCTGCAATAAAAATGAATTGGAAATCACTACGGAGGCCTTGAAAAGTTGATTCACTCTCCAGTCGACAGGCAGATGGACTAAAGACAAATCTTGAAAATCCAAAGTAGCTATGTGGCAGTGACACAATCTGACTATCAGTCCAATAAGGTTACTTTAATCCAAACAGCAGGGCTTATACCGCAAGGTGTCTGAAAAATACTGTTTTTGTGATAAATGACAAACAACTTAGTGTTTCTTAAGTTCCTCTGTGATGCTGGAGGACTTATACTCCCTTAGTTACTGTAGCTAGCCTACGCCAGTTACGTTTCTGTTCTCACATAGGATGTGGTAATAATAGAGGCAAATTTACCTCAGTAATAAAAGGATGACAATTTAAGGCAGGGGTAGACAACAGAAGGCTTCTCATTTTTAGATATTCATTTTGCAGATGGTAACAAGCGTAGCTATTGTAGCTAGTTAAACAGGCTACTGTAGATTCCAGAGTTGGTTCTATAACTGTCTTTGACTACGTTTTTAATGTGGTCTAATGCTTATTTCTGAAAGGGCATCTTTTAAGAGGGTCTGTGGCAGAACTTAATGCCCCTCATTGACAAATGTAGAGCTAATTAGATATAGGATTTTAGTACAAACATACATACAAACAGACAGTCATACAGCAACACACCATCCAAAGATTAATTGATGATTGAACAATCACTGTTAGGGACATGGGGAGACGCTAATCAAACTATCAATTGAATGGGATAACACTTAAAATGCCTTCAATAAATAAGGGCTACATACATTGTGTGCTTGGAAATGGATGTTTCATGCCTCGTCTTACCCAATAAAGAAATGTTTTCTCCCTTTTTAAAATGCCATGATCACAGAAATGCATATGATTCATCTGAAATAATAGACCATGCTAAAAGGGAAACCCTGCAAACCCTTGTGATGGTGGGAGGACATTTGTCTTGTTTCGCAGTATGTCCCGCAGTGCAAAGTCACCAACAGCTCGGTCTTATGTTGCACCATTCTTCATATGTGACGCGTTATGTATCATCTCATCTTGACACTGACACATAGTTGATGTTGTGTGGGAAGTGAGAAAAGTCTTCAAACAGCCGGTCAGCATGCCATATTTTATTTTGATTGTTTCCCTCTTATTGTTTTTTATTAACAACAATTATATATATTTGCTAATGTACAGTAATAAATGGAAAACTGCATCTTTGATAGATTTGTTTGTGGGAATCATTTGTGTTTAAAAGAGGTTTTGGAGGGAAATAGAAAATGCTGACATTTCCGAGCTAAATTGTGTTTCATTTATCCTGTAATCAGCAAGCATCGCCAGCTGTTTTCTTTGCCACAGGCTTATTCTGTGTCAGACATTATTTGTAAGGAAACCTGATTATGGAAATTATCAAAACATCTCTGAAAGAATTACATTTTTTATGGATTGTTAACAAGATTTTAAACTTTGAATAACCCTTTTCTTGCCTCCTACAATCCTCCCACATCTTACGAATACACTTGAGTCAATATTTTAGTATTGAAATGCTATTTCTGTAGATAGGCATTAATGGCCCTGCTGGAAAAACCTCAGGTGACAAAACCCAAGTGACATCTAGAGCAAAGATCTCCTTGGTGATAAAGTGCAATTGTTTTCTGGCAAAGCAACTGATGATCTAGGCTGGCTTTAAGGGATTTGCACCCAATCTCCAAGGAGTCAAAGGATAATTCCATCAGCAGTTTCGATATTCTGATTTATCCCACGGGTTTATTTGAGAGATTCAGAAGGGCTTTCTCAAGATAAAAAGAGAATTAACCCAAGAGCCTGTGATACCTAGTGATGGCACTGACTGTATCTCCACAAGTACTAAAAGGTTTCTCTTGAAAACACAGTTGTATTTACCCAGCGTATTACAGCAACACATTGTGTACTGTGTAATATATGAAGAGCAGCAATCCTTACACAGGGTATAATCAAAATAATGAAAGCACAAGAAGAAAATACTTCCCGCAGTGACTCTGTGTCGAAATGGGATCCTCTTTCTGGCATGTTTAACTCCAGTTTTATAAATAGATCACATTCATATGGAGTCCTGCATGTGTTGTCAATAAGGCAAGATAAACGCACACAAATAAAAAGAGCAATCCATCATGAATACTGTATGTTTCATGTTTTTGAAAAAAGGTTTGCAGACTATGCCATTGAGTGTAAAAAGAGACAATCTTCTGCATCTCTGCCCCTGAGATTACTGACAGGGTTTTGGTCCAGTTATCTATTATAGCATATGTTCAGTATCAGTCAGCATTGAAAAGTGGAGTTAGCATTCAAGTATATCATTTTTATCAGGGTTTTCTTTTCTCCGTTCATTTTTGTATTTACTTCCTTTGAACAGTTATTCAAATTAAGGTATAAAGTGTGCATTGTGAACATGCAAGCATTGTTCATTTTAAAATCTGGTGCACATTACCTTTCGAAATAAGAAGAATATCAATACCAGCCAACTGGTTAGCTATATTTAGCATAAACACTGAAAACGTGTGAACAGCTAGCCTGGCTGTCCAAAAGTAAAGAAATATGACTGTCAGCTGACTACCAGCCTCTTTAAAGCTTACTGATTTACATATTAAATATGAAATATAAAGATAAAATAATGAAATTGTTTCATTCAACAGGGGGTTACGTGTTGTTTTTATATTTGGTTTCTGGTTCAGATTAAAATAATGGACTGAACAAACTAATTAAACAAAAAGCTTACAAACAAGACATTGTGTCTTGTTAAGAGAGCTTAGAAATGCTGGTAGATGGTATTTTCCCACCTTTGGTCAATGCCACCTCAGGTGTAAGGTTAAGCTTGCTGGCATCTGGTTGTATCCACTGTTCTTTTAAACCCATCTCTGGGCATGAGGGAACATTTGTCCATTTCACACATGTCAAAGTATTATTTTTAACTGAACAATCAAAGGTGTTGTGCAGTGATGTAAATGAGCTTCGAGTGAAGATCAGACTTATTATACTGTGGTAGATGAATCCGTATAGACCCATGCCAGCTCTCTATAGGTAACCATGTGGTTGCTCTTCCATCGTTTTGACCACCCCCTGTAATACTTGTAATGTTAATAACATTGTATTGATTTGACCAGGTGAAGCATGTGTTACATCTAGTCAGTAGATCAAGTAGCAAGATGCTTAACAGTTAGGTTAGATCTTTATTCCTGAAGAGATTGGGTATCATACAATGTCTTTGATGCATTTAGAGAAAACCAGATTTCATGGCATGGATTCAGTAAACAGAATGAATATGGGGCTGTGGTAGACCCTGTGGCTATATAAAGATTATAGTCATTATACTATTATTGCTTTCATCACAGAGGAGGGAGATTATGGGCCCTTAGGACAAAGGTTATGATTTCCTTATGGGCCCAACTCTAAATCTAACCAGTAACACCTAAGTTGAAAATCTAATGGAGTGTCCTAAATGACCACACAGGCCTAATGAAAATTAAGATAATTCTGTTATATAATAAAAGGAATGATGTACTGAACAACTGTCCTAAGCAATTAATTCATGACAAATTGCCCATAAATGTTTTCTATTATCACATGGAATTAAAAACTGATTGCTTTGTGCTTATCAAGAAAAAGTATTGACTCTTTCAACTTAAGTGTTACTTTAATAAGCAAGTGGAAATTGCGTAGCATTGCGCCTAGTTCAGACAGGTCATATGATGCCAATAATGCATTTTCAAATGTTAAATACATCATCTAGCAACATATTCTGGATTTGATCAACTAATAAAGTCATAAAATCGCACATGGTAAAATAGTCTATATAAGAAATACCAAAAATCCAGCTGTGAACAAACATGGAAATGGATACAAGGTAATATAGTTAAGGCTAAACATCTTTGTCTATTACCTTTGTATAGCTAAGTCAATAAGAGGAGCATGCAATCAACATAACATTGCCACAATTTTACAGTAAACAACAAAAGCAATCAACTCAAAACAAATGTATGTGCCTTCCGTCACCACAAATTAGTATTATGTAATGTAGGTTTTCCACGTCGTAAATCATATGGCTTTGTGCAATTTTTCCACTGTCAGTAAAATCACCAAAGAAATTGTTTTTGTAAAATAATATATCAATAAATATCATGCTAGAAATTATTGAGATTCTGTTCTACATGCGTTGTTTCTTACATGCCAGATTGTGCTAATTGTACATCATCCTAAAAAAAATATCAGAGTTCTTTCGTCATAGCATGTACACTTACATCCAGGGAGAAATGTGCTCAATTCCATCACCCTACTTCATATAAGGTATTTGTGCACATGTTCTACAATTCTTTTAATATAAGAATATTGTCCATTAATTAGGAATAGTACAAGGACTTTGGGTAGGGAAATAAAGGGGGATGGCATAAGTTAAAATAGGTTGCCTGCTCTATGTAAAGCGATCAGAATTCATCTTTCGGAGTTTGGGCGGCAGGTGTCCGTCCATCCGGCCCCCCCCTCCCCCAGCCATTCGCTGCAGCTTGGGGGGTAAGTCTGCCACTGACTTACTCATGGGCTCTGACATCTTGGAGGCCTTCCCGCCCAGCTTATCATCAGAGACACCGGGAACAGAGCTGATTCGCTGCAGCTTCATGGGCAGGTCTCCAAAGCTGTAAGTCATCTCCGAGGTGGTGGAGCTCATCCTTAGTAGCTTCTTGGGCAGGCCTTCCCGCCCTGACATCTTCTGGAGCTTGGTGGGCAGCTTGCAGGTGCTGTCATTGTCCTCCAGGGTCTCCAGGCAGTCCAGAGAGCTGTTCTTCTCCCCGCTGTTGCACAGGGACGGAGCCATGAGGGGCGAGGAGAGAAGCAGAGCCTCCTCCGCCTCCTTCACGCTGTACGGAGGGGAGGACACCTCGAACGTGGCGTGGAACTGAGAGTAGTCCACCTTAAAGAAGCCTTCCTCTAAGGAGATAACCGGGTAGAAGCGGTGTCCCCACAGAACCTCGTCCTCGGTGTAAGATGTCCTCGCTTGGCAGGTCATACCTGTCAAAAAGAGAAAAAACATGAAGAAAAGATCATTATGCAAGATAAATGGGGCGAAGCCTGCGAGCTAGTTCAGGCAGTGAACTCGAGCACCAATGATACATTAACACGCGACGCACCTCGTCCCTCTTACAACCAACCAAACACATTCTCCTCAACATGCCGCTCTATTTAAGCTGCCAGGTCTTCCTACCTCCGCCTCGCTATGCTGCTGCTGCCACTGCTGTGTTCACTTGCTATTGCTACGTTCATGTTCCTGCTGCTGTGTTTCATGTTGCTGCGACTCGCCTGCCCCACCACCACCCCAGCTCCACCCCAGCTCCACCCCAGCTTCCACCTGTAGGCTCGGGGGATAGTTATCTAATCATCACTCAATGTTCTTTGTAAATCTGTGGAGTGATGAGGCCCGAGCCTAGACGCCAAACTCAAACTATATGCTGCTTATAATAAACATATTAAGAACACGCGAGTTGTCTGACTGAAATGTCATTCTGCCACAGCCAAACACAGTAGAGTGGAATATCTTTAGATGAAACGTTTCATGATGACTCCGGTCAACAACAGAGCTTTGATTTAATGATATGCTTGGCACCGTTCCATAAGAATCAACAGCATGGTATTCACCAGGATTCTTGTGATTTTCACATCACAAAAGCAAACAATATTGCAAACAAAAGTGCCTCAATCAATAAGTACTTAATGCATAACAAAGCCAGCTGCCTGAATAGAAAGCTTAATTGATTTTTTCAGTTTCCAAACATGATGTTTATCAGCAATTTCCAGCTTAACCTGAAAGATAATTAAAGGTGAGTTATTTGCTGTTTGCGTTTTATAAGAATAGCTTAATATTTAATCAAAAATAATAAGACCATAGTTTTGTTTTATTAATGTTCAATGCAGTTGAACATTTGATATCAATGTATATTAAAAGTAGTTTTTTTGTTCCCCATTAATGCATAAAAAAACAGTTCGATACTGACCCCCAAGACAGCAGGAACAACAGAAACAGCTACCAGTAAAAAAAAAACTGATCTTCTCCAGCACCTCTTATGGTACTTAACATTTCAGTCCACACCTTAAGCTTGGTTAGTAGCTCCAAAAGATGGAGGATTAAGATAATCAAATTACAGAAACCCACAGGAGGAATGGCTGCAGGCGAAAGCTTCAGGAGGTCTAGCCCACACTGAAGTTGCTTTGGAGACTTCTGACACAAGGAAAGAAATCCAATTTAATCCAAAACACAAAAGGTTACATGAAGTATCTGTTACACAACAATTTAGAAAAGCCATAAGGCGACTGACTTGTTAGATTATGTCATTTCAAGAATACAAATTAAAAGAGGAATATCCTATTTAGTGATTATTATGCTCTGCAAATTAAGCATAGCAGAATATGATACACTTAGAGCAAATGTTCACAGGGGACTCTGAATTAAATCCCTGCTTAAAAACTCCCCTTGCGTTCTCGGAAACAAATTGATGCAATTAGCAAAATCAGGAGTTTTGAATTAGTAATCAACATTTTTTTTTATGTTATTGGATGCTTATTAGTGATTACTCATCACCACTATTCAGCAGCCGCTATCATAGCTCTGCATTATATTATACTACACCACACACAGCAAAGCCCCATTCATCTTGGCATAGTTAATATTCTGCTGAAAAAACGACTTTTATTTCTCAATGAGAGTGAGCATAGAACATCTATAATTAGGTTTACATCTGAAACAAAACACTAAATTGGTTATATCAGTAAAAAAAAAAGCCCTAATTTTAGCACAGAGGAATGGCTGGGGGCACTCGTGTTAAGACTTGTTGAAATCCATTAGGAAATCAGCGACGGCAGTGGGTTATTATCACATGTTTTAATTACCAGCTTAATATTGTTCTAGCAGCGACAGTTGGCTCCAAACTAAGACGCAGCCTTGGTTCACAGCGAGACACCGCTGCTGATGCCAGGATGTCATCATCGAAACTGGAGGCATCTGGGATTCTGCCCGATTCCCAAGGTCATAAAATAATTCACTGATAACAGCTCTGTACACAATCACAGATGTGCGAGAGACTGAACATCAAATGCGTTTGGGGTATTCAAGTATTACTTCTGCACTGTCGCTTCTGAGTCCCGGAGCCTTTAGGCATATGGAAGAGTGCTGCAGTGAAGCGGGCAAAGCTAATGAGAACTTTAGGGCCAAAGCGAGGAGAGTTAAGTGTGAACGGAATATATATTTTTTCCGCATTGTGAGCCTTTTAAAACTGCCTCCAGCAAAAACATAGTCACCATTTTGATCATCAACAGGCTTTCTGAGGAAACTGTGATGTTAAATGCTCTCTGTTTTGGTTTTGTAAGAGCTACTTAATCACCACCAGACGTCAGCAGTATAGCGGCTCACTGAAAAGTAGTCGATGCTGCGATGTTAACTGGACATCGATACAGTAAACACAAGACGAGGACATGAGTAGCAACTTCACTGGTGCATGCTAAGGTAAGAGGTTGGAACAAGTGAAATGAAATTGTGCCTGAGGCAAAAGGTTGCTTCAGCAATACTCAAATAGCACCATATATCATCTATTAATAATGCTCCATTGTTCCTGCAGATGTTGTAGGAGTTACTGAAAGACCTCAGTCTCTGGAAAAACATGAACCCTGCTGGCCAGGGGCTGAATCCCTCCTCTACAGCCACTCAAACCCACACACAAAATGTAGAACAAAAAATCTCCCTCATGTGGCTAGTCTAATTAACTATTCCCTTATTCAAAAACTAACAACGGCACTAGACTTAATCATGGCCGTTAATGCATTTAATTTCCATAAATTATTCAAGTACTGATGCCTGAGTCGTTGCATAATTACAGACACGATTGCGACACATATGTAGAATTGTGTTGATAAAGACCAGCTGTTCTGCAACACCCACTTTCATTCAGCACGCAGTAACACAGACACAGTTAGGGGAACAAACTCTGTGCCTTGACTTTCTTTCAGGACACGACACAGTTCGTATCGTTATGGAAACTGACACATTATGTGGAGAAACATGTTAGGCAGAGACCCCAATATCAAGTTACAGATAAACAGCTAAAAATAGTACGAGTATAAATCATTAAAACCAGTTTTTCAATTTCCCCCAGTTACTGAATTTATTCCTTAAAATAGGAATCCAGTGAAAATAGGATACACACAGCGGAGTGTATTTCGTATTACTGGTGGTAAAGGCTTATGTAACTCGAAAATACACGCCTGAGAATCAGTGTTTCTATGGAAACAAAACTGTAGGAATGTGTGCATGCGACAGCCATAAACCTCTTCACTGCTGAGTTTGGTCAAACTATTAGTGACAACACACAACAAAAGTCTCTCTCCTGGATTACGACATCCCAACTGCTCCAAATTGATTTTTCCATTTAGGGCAGGGTCAAATCATCCATATGGCTCCAGAGTCTGAGCAAAATGGTTTTACAGTCTCTGAAACATGACCTTTTACAACACCAGAGGTAAATCATATACTTCTCATCAGTGAAGGCAGGAGCTCATATTACAAAGTCATCTTTATTAAAGCACAGAACGATTTTTTTCTTCCTCTGTCATCCATCACTCTAACAGTTTATTGTTTTATGTCTGTGTCCATCTTTATGGCACCGCATTCAGTATCATATCAGCATTGAGTCATAAAAAAAAACACACACACACAAAGCAAAGGAAACACAACAGTTCATCTGATCTCTGCTGATGTTTGCCGCTGGGACAAGGCACTGTAGGACATCGCAGCAGTGAGAAGGAAACACCTTGGATGTGATGTGCACTGTTTTCACAGCCAGTTAGAGGTGTCCGTTACATATGTTAACGTATGTCAAAAAGTGAAGCCAAACAAGCACTCACACAGCATCAGACTGTTTTTATGTACTCCCTTTTTTCATACTCAGTAGAAAACAGCTATATTCACATTAGAAAATATTTGAATTCATTGTGATCTAATCAATGATTTTTTAGTTGTCTGTTTCAGTTATCAGTCCATCTGCCTTTATTATATAATGGTAACAAAATATGAATATTTTTAAATAAAACTTAAAAGGGGAAAGATTTTTCAGAATAATTCAAGAATAAATTAACATTTTATTGCAACCCTCAACAGAGTTAAACATACAAAATGTAAAAGCAATTTAACACATAAGCAGAATTATTCATTCTTCAAATCCTTAACAACAACAGAAATACAGACACTAGCTGTACTCGGGTTAATACGAGGGCACTGAAAACATCAGTCGAATCGAAAAGACAATTCCTCATTCAGCCCATTAGGATAGATATTTGTAAGATCCATTACACTTCTAATTTCAGTAAATGGTTATCTGTTCCCCTCTGTGACTCACTATAAGCCAATGCCAATACATTTCAAATCCTCAATGGGGTGGCCCTACTCAATAAAGTGATGCACAATAAGACTCTGTAGCAGCCTCTCACATTATCTAGTAGGGTTCTTGTTATTTTACCAATATGATATTGGGTTTCATGGTCAAATAAACACACTGTTTTGTTTTATAAATTGTCTTGCAGAAGGGACATGCGCAGACATTTTGAGGGCCTGTATCACCAACCTGAAACCAGGTCATCCTTCAGACAATGTATTGGTTTGATAGCCATCACTGTTCTGAATCCCTCTCATCAGCATCATTTCAAGCTCCAGCAGGAGCGAAAAAGCTCTGAACAAACCTACAGTACACAACCTGCCCAGCACCGAACAGCCAACACACAGTTAGCGACTAGTTTGTGAACATAGTGGAACATTTAGCAGCTAAAGAAATAGATATTTCTTCTCAAGAGTAGCTGGAGACCTTCAGACCTTAACAAAGCGAAAGAAAGACCGTAAACTGTGGACTTACATTTCCCAAGGGGCCAGAAACACACGGACTGAATGCTTCAGTCGCTCTGCGTCTGATGGAGAGACAATTACCCAACCGCTTGCTAACTAATTTGCTTACAGCTTGTTGCACTGCACCAAA